TAGATTATTCTGTACTCTGTACGTATTGTCACTGAACTTCTAAACGTCTGGACCGATTTTGATGAAATTTTTTGTGTCTTTAGGTGGGTCCCTGTGGCCTCAGTGGCGCTGTTGTCAAGATTCGGAAATTACCCGTGCCGTGTCGGATACGGATCGCTCGCTAGCAGGATATAAAAACACGCGTATTTGAATGCCAGGTTGTGTCAAAATTTCAAAGCAACCGTGAAGAACTTACGAAGATTTGAGATTTGAACAAACGAACATTAACATTTTTATTTATATAGTACACGGTTACCGTTACAGCCTGTTAAAAACCACTGCTGAACATAAGCCTGCCCCTTAGATTGCCTCATAAGGGGTAATTTATGCGGGGAGGGGTATGTTAGTCATAGTTACCCCGCTTGGCAACCGCAGTTTTTGAAGGTATGATTCGAGGCAACAATGTTTGCTCATTATGTTCTATTATACAAAAGAATAAAGAATCACAGATCATTGTACACAAAGATTATTCTTACGTATTTTTTTACAAAGTATCGTAGTTTATGTATTTCTTATTGCACGCCTCATAACGCAAAGCGTTATTAGGTAATGCTTTACTCTCGACAAGTCAAGGTCAAGCAATTTTGTGTTCTTAAAATACCTCTATCATAACCATATTGCATTTATACAATAATATGAGTAGCCATATATCAAGAAAACACTAATTAATCAATCTTATTTTTTCTACAAAATCCTGTAAATTTATTAGTATATTTCAAAAGTCAGTAATACAATTTATTTCTTTCATCAAAATTAAATGAAACGCTCATGAGGCGAACATTTTTGGATTTTCCAAACTATTATAAGTTTATAAGCCTGTGCTTGACTACTACCAGGTGGTAACACGTGATGAAACGTTTAGTTATTAATGAGGAAACATTTAAAAGATTTTTATGTTGCCATGGACCACCAACTTTTAGATACGAGTATAATATAATAGTAAGGTTGAATTTTAAGTTTGTTCTATAAATAAAACAAATACAAAAAATAATGTGTAAAGTGGTGCGTGTATTTTAATGTAGCAACACATTGTACAGAAACCGTATCGGCAGTATCTGTACACTCACTATCATTTCCAGGAACGTTGTATACTTTTCTATATGTGAGAGAATTGTATGATGCCTCAGCGATTCAGGTGCTCTTAGGGGCCCCCAGTGGTCCACGGACCACCGGTTAGGAACCATTGCCTTTGATGGTAAATCGCGTTGTGTTAGCATAACAAAAGCCTATTCTTTTTTGCATAGACACCCAGATTGTAATAAGATGGAAAGAAAGTCGCCGGCAAACCATGCAATAATAGTGTTAATAGGGTATTACACCCATTTTCAAAAAGTGTTTTAAATGAATCCTAGTGATAATGAACCACTATAATTTTTATATAAATTTTTCTAAACCTAAAAGTGGAATAACAATTACTTTTAATCTGTCGTTTTAAATTTTCGCGTAAAAACGCTAGCCGCCACGTTGTTCAACTCGTGACGTCATTGCCCTAGACTAGCCGCCACGTTGTTCAACTCGTGACGTCATTGCCCTAGAATTTTGCCGATTTTGCAAAGGAATAAGATACTTTTGGATGTTTAATAATGAGCTATCATCTATATCATTGTTGGGTAGTTAGTACCTGAATGCAAAATACGAGCATAAGTACGCCGTGGAAGTTATGTATTCAAGTGCCAACTGATTTAAATATGAGAAATACTTTGTTTTTAACCAAGTATTTCTCATATTTAAACTGGCAAGAAGAGACACGAAGGGCACTGTCTAGAAAATATAAACTATACTTCTGTGAAGATCACTTTGTGTTCTGGGCATATTGTACACTTAACTATGCATATGTTTTGACCTAATAAACTTCTTTAGAATTCTTGTGATTTGAAACTCGAGAAAACGAAAAAGCGATATTAAAAAGAGATAAACATACACATTTATAGGATTTAACCTGCGAGAGTATGAGATGGAATACAGTATACAGTGTTTCCTATTATCTCGGTTTACTTTTCTAATTCTACCGCGTGTGATAATATGTGATAATAAACACATGTTTTTTTTTTTTAAACACGTAAATAAACAATCATTTAAAATTACTTTTAGATCAGTCTGCACACATGTCGGAACAGTTTTATTTTTTAACATTTTGAGTGGACGTCGGGGGTCAAATAGTTACATTAAAAAATTCAACCCCTATTTTTCCATTTAAATAAAACCAGTTTTTACGGATTTTATTGCGTATAGTCTGTTCGCTTAAGTATGGTCTTCTTTGTGCATGCATTCACCAATTAATATCCCCCACTCGTCTTCGCCTATCTGTGACGTAATAATTTGATGATATGAGATAGGAGGGCTGTAATACTATACTATACTATAAAATACTAGACTAAGCTGACTAAGTATCTCCTTGCGAACTGCGTCATCGAATCCCGCACGGAACGGCGTTTCGACAATGTAATAGGTAAACAGTAAAAGCAGACTTCAAAATACTAAAATGAAAAAAATAATTTCACATTCTGAAGTCAGGGCTCTTAGCACATTTAATTTTTTTTTAAACTTAATCAAGTATGAAGGAAAAAATTATCATGAAATGTGGAATAGCATTAATTCCACATTAGCACATCCATTATTCAATGGTTTCCATAAACGGCTGGGCATGTTTGCGACATACTTACTTACTGCGATATTCAGGGTGTTTGTTAACCGGCATTGTTGGTATTATGACTTGAGGATCCGGAGAAAACTCCACGAAAGTTGTGAGTCCACGCATTATTCGGGACACCATAAATTGAAACGGTATTTCCCTATGCACGAAGACTATGTTCACGAAGACTATGTTCACGGTTTTATGTGTACGCGTGACAATTACAACGACCATATCTTTATGCAGCAGCATTTTCTTAGTAACAATTCAAAATAATACATAATTACGTAAGCGTTGCTACTGTGGCAAATGTCCCTTCTATGAGACAATATATGACTATACTTGTGATAGGCTCAAGATGGCCCCAACTCACTTGGCACGTCCCGTCCATTCGTGGCTCGACACCCATTTCTCAAGACGCTGGTTAGAACGTCGTGGTAGGAATGGCCTCCAAGCGCTGCGACTACTTCCTCTGAGAGTGGGCTAAATATGATGTTGATCGCACGAAACCAAAACCTCTTGATGTTGGAAGAGCGAAATCCACTTAGATTTCACAAATGTACTGCAAGTGTATCTACAGTATATCGCAAACACTTTTTTTTATAGGAGACTAGTGAAAAACGAGCACACAGTCCAGCTTACGTGGTAGAGCCGTGCTGCAGCTATATTAGTAGGTAGTATAGTTGTAGCACGAATGGGTCGGCTCGACCGGGGAAGGACCCCGCTTTCACAGAATACCAAGGTAAAATAGCAGCTTTACGCTGCTGTGTTTCGTATGGTGAGTGTAGAGAACCGGAGACCCTTTTTACTGGAAATTAGGCATTCCATCTTAGTCCTCACGGGTGACAACGTATCTGCATTTTGATTTTTAATAGAGGATAGATGTAGATGTCTATGGGCCGCAGCAACCACTTACCATCAGGTGGACTGTGTGCTCGTTTGTCGCACTTATCCTATAAAAAAACCTCATGGTGAGTGGTTGCTGTGGTTCCTAGACATCTACATATATTTTCGATTCCGAATGAAAATGCAGATGCGTTGTCACCCGCCTCGTTTCCAGTAAAAAGGGTCTCCGGTTCTCTATACTCACCATACAAAACAGCAGCATTAAGCTGCTATTTTACGCTGTATTCTATGAGAGCGTAGTCCTTCCACGGTCGAGTCGACGCATTCGTTTTACAACTATACAATGCACCCCCAATCGTTTACGAAAACTAGGTAATAATGCTGGTGCTTTTAGTGTTTGAATTTTTTTTTGTTTCATAAAAATTGATTAAATACCTATTAAAAGAGTTCTAAACAATTTTCAAGAGAGTTAATTTCCACCCAACCTGTATATTATACCTGCACACTACACATATTGCAAATATCTTAACAAATGCCATTATGTTATTAAGTTTCATTATGGAGTAACGTAAATTACAGCAATTTAAAAATACATAATTACAAAGTAAATAAAAAATGACAATGATACTAAGTCCCGCATGCTGTTGCGCTATAACCTATCTGAGTAAACACAAGTTCGTATAAACTAAGACTGAAGAATTTTTTTCTAGACCGACAGACAATAATCTTTGCCATAAAATATAAAATAACGCAAAACTATGTTTTAGTACAGGTGACTACAATAATAAAAAGGTAATAACATTTGTAAATATCTTAACAAATGTTATTATGTAATTATGTTGCATTTCAGAGTAACGTAAATTACAGAGGTTTAAAGATTTACCTAGTAACTAAAAAATTACATTGAAGACCTATCAGAGTAAACACAAAGTATACTGAAGATTTATTTTTCTAGATGGACAGATAATAATGTTTGCCATAAAATATCAAAAAAAAACTTAATAGTACAAGTTTTAGTACAGCTGCCATATTAACCGGCCGACTGGTAACCGGCGCGGCGGGACCGCTCATAATATGACGCATGCGCGTTTGTCGCCTCAAGATTCCATTATTCCTTTAAAATACCAAACAGATTTTCTTAATTATTGAATATGCTCATTTAAATTATTAATTAATAAATCTGTATTAAAGGTAGGTAGGTATTTAAAAAGATTAAAAAAGGCCGTTCATCGCATGCAACGCTCTTAAAATTTTTCGTTTACGTAACATTTCAGCAGTATCTAAGGCAAGCGGCGAATGAAACATAGTCACTAACGGCCCCAGAAGGCCCGCACCACGTGCATAACGTACTTCGCTGTAGAATCAAATTCAAGGATACATCTACCGGTTAATTTTAGAGACAATGTAATAACAGACATCGCTAAAAATGAGTACCGCGTTGTAACTTACGTAAGATTATGGTAAAGACAGGTATCGATCTTACCATGTCGTTGTTCTCTACAATCCAGTTGATCGAGCATATTTGATAGACGAGGTAAGCTCGCACGAGCTCGCTTGTCTTCTTGCTCTTGAACGCCTCTCGTGGGCTGTTAAAGTTCAGATCGAGTTCGTCACGTGTCGGAGGCGGTGTAGAAAGAACTCGAACACCACGAGGTGCATTTACGGCGAGACGTCTAAGGAGAGCCATAGTGAAAAACTCCGCGCACTGTTCACAATTGCGATGCACAATCACCCACCGCTGAGCACAACTGACAACTGAGTGACACTGACCACTGACTGACGTTGGCGCTTGTTCAATTTCAATAGTACAAGCAACCGGCGCGCGCAGCGTTCCAAATCGCAAACCGCGCGGAGGTGTGTCGCAAGCGAGCTTTGCGATTGGCCGAAAATACCGCTGTTCCTAATCATTCGTGAACGTAATGCAAACAGTGTTGCCATTGTTACGGCATTTGCCGTATTGTAGCAAAAAAGTAGGAACTACGGCAATTTTCTTGCGTTTAATAGAAAACCCCTAATTTTTATTGCTTTATGGGACGAAATTACAACGGAAACCTTATTTTAACTGAAAATGATTTATTTCTAAACTTAAAAAAGAAATCTACGGCAGTTACTTTTACGAAATCTAACAACCACTTTGCTAGTGCAACACAGAAGAGTCATATTATTAAAGGTACTTTACAGTTGGAGTTTTATGTTACCGTTTTATTAGGAAAATTTTCACAAAAATGTGCAAAATAAACACAGGAAGTAGACGATTGGCATCTGTGTAACGTGTTAGCTCATATATGCGTCTGCTGATAGGCGGTGGTAGATACATCGATATTGCATCATAGTCACGCGTATAGTGTAAAAAATAAACGCGGCTCATTAGCAGCAGTTTACTAATGTAGAATATTGAAGCATAGTTCGTACACCAATGCGTATACTTGAGCTATAGAAGTGTATTGTGGTTTCAAATAACCGAATTCCTTCGTACTCTACAATTTTTTTAACTTATTATAAGCCAGTGCTTGATCACAATCCCACCTGGTGGTAACTGGTGATGCTGCCCTAGATGGTAAATCGCAGTGTCGTAGCGTAACAAAAGCCTATTCACTCTTGCCTTGAAGACGCCCAGATTGTATTCGGAAGGAAGGATAGACGCCAGCAAATTATTCCACTCCTTTGCTGTACGCATTACAAAAGACGAAGCAAACTTTTTGTTCTAATGCGTGGAATATCGACAACAAAGGGGTGAAGACCCGCCTACCGCCTGGTCGTCGGATTGTTGAAAGGAGAGGAAGGAATTAAAGCGTGTAATTCCTGCACACGTTCACTGAAATGTATCTTATAGAATACCGAGAGACTGGCTACACTGCGTCTGTGCTCGAGGCTGACAAGATTGATTTCAACCAAATCCAGGTTAGCAAGCCTCTTAGCATGTATCTCACTGAGTCCAACGCTGCCAGGTGGCATTTTGCAGCACCAGCCTATATGTGACAGCAGTACTCCATGCACGACCAGACTTGCGCTTTATATAGGGTAAGAAGCTGCATCAGCGTGAAGTACCGCTACACCCTTGCAAAGACACCGTTTCCTTGTGGCTGCTTTGGCTCTGGACTCAATGAACCACCCATAGTTGAGGTTCGAGTAAAATTCAACCCTTAACAGCTGAAGGCGGTCAGTGTGCTTCAAGGATACATTCCGGAAAGTAGGAGCCAAGGTCAGCGGGCTCCTTATTGCGGTGAAAAGGCACTCTTGTGTTTTGGAGATGTTAAATCTCACGAGATTGGCATCGCCCCATTCGGAGACTGCCTGTAGTGTGAGATTTACACGCTCAACCATAGTCTCTCGTTCGGACAGGATTTGATCCCGACTGGCCCGGGCATTTGATTGGTATCGCTCTACAACTGTGCTGCCATCTGCATACCCGTAGATACTGGGAATGAGCAGATTATTTATATCCAGCAGGAAGAGAGTTGCAGAGGGAACGGATCTCTGAGGAACTACGGCGTTTGTCGCGATAAGACAGGACGAGCAGCCATCGACGACAACTCGAAGAAACCCTTCACCCAGTCAATCAGGCTAGGGAATAAGCCGTACGCTGAAAGCTTGCCCAATAAACTAACGTGCCAAACCGTGTCAAAAGCCTTCGAAACATCGAGGGAAACAGCAAGTGCTTCACCCATGTTCTCGAGGACTTCGCCCCATATGTGAGTGTCATACGCTAGAAGGTCCCCAGTTGATCGGTTTTGGCGAAACTTGTAATGGCGGTCACCGAGGAAATCATTCTGCTCTAGATATGCCAACAGTTGGACGTTCAACATACTCTCCATAATCTTGGAGAGTATGGAGGTAATTGAAATTGGCTGATAGTAGGCAGGGTCGGAACGGCTACTTCTTTTAGGCACAGACTGCACATTTGCCAATGTTGGATACTAACGAATATACAAGAATTCGACCAGTACAACGTGTCATTTCATGCCAAAGGATGTGGACGACATCCGTATTCTGTCAAATAGATATCAGAATTTAAAATCAGATTCTTGAGTACTTACAACAATATCCTCAAAAAAGTATTCAGATTGCTGCATTACGATTTGACGTGTCGAAAAACTATGGAAGCTATTTCTCTAAGATATATATACATATATATTCAATATACAGCTATCGAAGGACCTATGTTCCATAAAAACATTTTGCTCAAGCAACATGGCAATTTAAAATTTGGCGCTAGCAACACTGACTGAATATGCAACACGGAACAATACACAATACCTCTTTATTTTGGGCAATAACCGAGAGAACTGCAAACTGCAAAGCATCAAACCAACGGTTCATCCCGATCGCGAATGCAATTGCGGTAGGCCGCAGTTTTATAACACAATTTATACAAATTTATAAACAATTTGGTATTGCTATACATAGTTTCTGAACTGCATTCAAAGCTTAGAAATCACATACATGCATGCTTTGCAAGCAAAAACTGCTAAATAAAACTGGCACTGGATACATCCCTATCCATTATATTTTGTTTTCTAAGATTGAGTATCTTATTAAATGGATCAAACTCTAGGCGCCACAAAACGCAGAAGTTGACGTTCATTTGGTCATACGTAGATGGAGGATGGACATGGAAAGACGTCAAAAATGATCATCAAACAATAGGTAGAGGATGCCTTTACAAAAATTCTGCTCGTATAGGTATATGTCAATAATATTCAACGTGAGTACTAATGTTTATGCTAAGGTAATACATAAAACAAACATATTTCAGTTGGGACTTCAGGAAAACAGCCCAAATATTTTACCCGGTAGAGCCATGCTGCAGCTATATTTCTGGTATAGTAGTAGTACGAATGGGTCGGCTGGACCGGGGGAAGGACCACGCTCTCACAGAATACCAGCGTAAAATAGCAGCTTAATGCTGCTGTGTTTCGTATGGTGACTGTAGAGAACCGGTGACCTTTTTTACTGGAAACGAGGCATTCCAACTTAGTCATCACGGATTCGTAATTGAGGATAGATGTAGATGTCTATGGACCACAGCAACCACTTACCATCAGTTGGACTGTGTACTCGCTTTTCACCCTTATCCTATAAAAAAAAATTATTTGCCAATTCAGCAGCGTCATAGATAAACTTCATAAAACGTACGAAAGAATCAAATGTGGGCTGACACAACTGGTTACTTCACCAACGGGGATTCCAGATGTGTAGGATCATACACCTTCCCTGTTGGACCTTCTGCTGACCTCTCATCCGGACGGATATCATGTGTTCGTCGATGTCCCTCTTGGCTCCTCGGACTCCTTTTTGAACAAGTATAGTATTTTCCCAAAAAAAAAAAATGCAAAAATATAGTACTTTTGAGAAATTCAGAAAAAATAAGTACACATTTATATTTTATCATATTTATATCATCTGAAGTGATGTATTTTTCCATAAACATGTATATCTGTTATTGCTTTTCGCTTTGGCCATCAATGAGATGAGCTCATTACCTTTAAAATAATTATAGGAATTTGGGCTATTTAGATTCACATTAAAATAAACCAACAATTCATTTCTTTCCTTTTTTCTTTTGCTTTTTTTTGGGACAAATGGACAGTCCACCTGGTGGTAAGTGGATGCTTATACCCATAGACATCTACATCTATCCAAAAATTAAGATTCAATTAAGAATCAAAATAAGGACGCCTTGTCCCCCCTCGAGTAAGATGTAACACCTCGTTACCAGTAAAAAGGGTCTCCGGCTCTCTACACTCACCATACGATACACAGTAGGATTAAGCTGCTATTTTACGCTGGTATTCTGTGAGAGTGTGGTCCTTTGCAGGACCACACTCTCACAGGTATAAAGCGATGATTTTATCGTCATCCCTATAATCTGTTTTGCTTATCCGATAATCGCCTCTGACACACACGGGACGGAACAGAGAAATGGATTCTATAACACTGCCACCACACCTCATTATTAGAGGTGAGACGGGAAAATGCTAAGGGAATTAAAATTCCTTTATTATGTACGAGTACACGAGTTGATTTATTTTTTATTTTTAGCTTTGACATTGTACAGATATGTTAGCAATAGTAAACGAATTTATCTTTAATCATATATCTTAGTAACGTGATAGGACTTGGCTCGACCACGATAAATTCAATATGTTTATCAAGACAGTTGTCACAGGATTTTCCATATTCTTTAAGATAGCCAGAATGTAATCCAAAACTTTTCAACCGACTACAAAAAAAGGAGGAGGTTCTCAATTCGATTGTATTTTTTTTGTGTGTTACCTACCTCAGAACTTACTCATATTTCTAGGTGATCCGATTTTGATGATTCTAAATATATATAATATATAACATAATATATATATATATATATATATATATGATGGCACCTGCACCGTTGTAGATGCGGTGGCGTTGGTCTAGCTAGGCAGAATTCTTGTAAACGATACGTGTACCGCACACCTGCGGCATTGCACCTGCATTGCCGCCCGTCCTGCTTGTATAAAACGGACTGAGCGGCCGCCGTTAAGACAGTCTTGGCTCTGACGTGGAACGGTGCGTTTGTCGTATTCCGTTACTAGTTTATCCTTGACTAGTTGGATAGTTAATTCGTGTAAACGAATTAATTATTATTCCTAACTACAAAATTAGTCTCTGTACTATACCCATTATACTTCCTACATCAGAAGTGGG